GGTTGGGGTTGGGGCTGGGGCTGGAGCTGGGGCTGCGGCTGCGGGTGCGGCTGCGGCTGCGGCTGCGACTGCGTCTGCGTCTGCGTCTGCGTCTGCGTCTGCGTCTGCGTCTGCGTCTGCGGCTGGGCCTGGGCCTGGGCCTGGGCCTTGGGACTGAGGCTGGGCAAGTGACTGGGGCTGAGCGGGACCTGGGACTGGCCGGGACTGGCCTGGTACTACGGCTGGGCCTGGGTCTAGGTCTGGGACCAGGCCTGAGGTTGGGCCTTGATCTGTGACGGAAGCTGGAGCTGGCACTAAGGCTGGGTCTAGGGCTGGGCTGGGAATGAGATTGAGACTGGGGCTGGGACTGGGACTGGGACTGGGACTGGGACTGGGACTGGGACTGGGACTGGGACTGGGACTGGGGCTGGGACTGGGGCTGAGCCTGGGACTGGCACTGGCACTACGGCTGGGTCTGGGCCTGGGTCTGGACCTGGGTAGCGCCTGGAGCTGGGCCTGGGTTTGCGACTGGGGCTGGTGGTAGTGCTGGTGCTGGGGCTGGTGCTGGTGCTGGGGCTAGGCGTAACATGGCCAGGAGCGACAAATTTTGGGAAGGTAGAGTGCAGCTACACGCTGCCAAATCCGGGCAACATTTAACATGCCGGCAGTACGCATCACGAAAGCGGCAAGTTACAACGGCCCTCCCCAGTCGGAGATGCACAGCGTAGAAGAGTGCACTATAGGAGACAGCAGGATGGAACAGGGCTGGAGATGATGGCACAAGGCAGGGAGCAGACCATAGCACGGGGCAGAAGACGATAGGAAGACAGGGATGAGAGGAAGGCCATGTGCTAGGAGGGCTAAGGGCTGAGTGTGTTAAGAGGGACTTTGTCGTATAAGATGGGCTCTGGAAACACGCGACAGGTTCTAGAGATGACAGAACAGGTGAAGGCGGAGACAACAAAGCGAAGCCTTTTTACCGCTTTTACAGAACCATCCTTTAGCCCCTTTTAGCTTGAAGTTTTTCTTAAAAAATCCGGAATGGTTCAAACAACTGAATTTATGTTGAGGAAGCGAACCAAAGAACATTAAAAACGAAAACATGGGGAAAATAGACGCATGGGATTTTACCTTCGGATGGCAGATGTTAAGGTGAACATAGTGCATACGCACCCAACCAACGCCGCGAACTGCCTGTATCGAGTAAAGTCACGAGTGCTTGAAATCGCACCTTTTCAGCTTTACATCATACATAGGCCATGCTTCATGGCAACACGAAACCTAAACAGGTGTCTTTCTTGCTCAACCACGAGCGCAATAGTACATGGTTTTACATCTTTGGACAACACGTTTGAGATGCATGGCTTCATCAATGTTGCAATGTCGTCCCGCCGCGCGCGTTCCACGGCATCGCCGGTTGCCGCCCCCCCCCCCCCCCCCCCCCCCTCCACCAGCCGGCTAGCCGGTAGATCGCCGTGCAGAGTTCCTCCAAGATCATCCCTGCTCCAAAACCACAAACGCCAGGGACGCGTTTTTGGCGCTAAACACGTGTATAAATGCCCAATAGACTAACGGATATTCGATCGCGATCGCACGCCATCCTGGAGAGATATCATCAAGAAACCTTGGCGGGTCATATCAACCTCCCCTCTTATCACGACTAAAAGTAACGGCAAACAAACGTTTGGGCATGCCCCTGTGTCACTCCAGACTTTCAGAGAGATCCTTATGCCAATGTTTACTTCACTACCATGATTCATGAGTCACGCTCAAATCTGCGTTAGTCCATGACTCAGCCTAGTCACAAATCAGGAGAAATGGAAACCAAACCAAAAACCCATACTTCATGGGCCTTATAGCCCAGTTTAGACTAGCCTAGCCTAGGCTAGGCTTGACCAGCCAGCTCACTGGGCTAACCTAACGTAGCCTAACCTAACCTAACCTAACCTAACCTGACCTGACCTGACCTGACCTGACCTGACCTGACCTGACCTAAGCTAAGCTAAGCTAAGCTAACCGCCCTGACCAGCGTTCCCACCCAACGCTCCTAGACCTCCACCCTGAAAAAACAACGTCTGTCAATCTATCACCAGATTGATATCCAATTGCCAATTGGATATTGCGGGACGTCTCGATTGCCTTGAAATTTGGTGCGCAGGGCCTTCTCAACACGCTGATTCCGAAAATTACTGCCTTCGGGATGGAATTTTGCGTAATTTTTGCGTTATACGCTGCGTAACATCCCAACGTGATATTGCGGGCGTCTCGATTGCCTCCAAATTTGGTGTGCAGGGCCTTCTGAACACGCTGATTCCGAAAATCACTGCCTCTGGGGCGGAATTTTGCGTAATTTTTGCGTTATACGCTGCCTAGCATCCCAATATGATATTGCGGGGCGTCTCGATTGCCTCCAAATTTGGTGTACAGGGCCTTCTCAACACGCTGATTCCGAAAATCACTGCCTCTGGGGTGGAATTTTGCGTTATTTTCGAGTTAGATGCTGCATGACATCCAAAGGTGATATTGCGGGGCGTCTCGATTGCCTCCAAATTTGGTGTGCAGGGCCTTCTCAACACGCTGATTCCGAAAATTACTGCCTCTGGGGTGGAATTTTGCGTAATTTTCGAGTTATACGCTGCGTAACATCCCAATGTGATATTGCGAGGCGTCTCGATTGCCTCCAAATATGGTGTGCAGGGCCTTCTCAACACGCTGATTCGGAAATTCACTGCCTTTGGGGTGGAATTTTGCGTAATTTTCGAGTTATAAGCTGCGTAACATTCCAAAGTGATATTGCGGGGCGTCTCGATTGCCTCCAAATTTGGTGTGCAGAGCCTTCTCAACACGCTGATTCCAAAAATCACCGCCTTAGGGGTGGAATTTTGCGTAATTTTCGAGTTATACGCTACGTAACATACCAATGTGATATTGTGGGGCGTCTCGATTGCCTCCAAATTTTGTGTGCGGGGCCTTCGCAACACGCTGATCCCGAAAATCACTGCCTTTGGGGTGGAATTTTGCGCAATTTTTGAGTTATACGCTACGTAACGTCCCAATGTGATATTGCAGGGCGTCTCGATTGCCTTGAAATTTTGTGTGCAGGGCCTTCTCAACACGCTGATTCCGAAAATCACTGCCTTTGTGGAAGAATTTTGTGTATTTCTCGAGTTATACGCTACGTAACATCCCAATGTGATATTGCGGGGCGTCTCGGTTGCCTCCAAATGTGGTGTGCAGGGCCTTCTCAACACTCTGATTCCGAAAATCACTGCCTTTGGGGTGGAATTTTGCGTAATTGTCGCGTTATCCGCTGCGTAACATCCCAATGTGATATTGCGGGGCGTCTCGATTGCCTCCAAATTTGGTGTGCAGGGCCTTCTCAACACGCTGATTCGGAAAATCACTGCCTTTGGGGTGGAATTTTGCGTAATTTTCGAGTTATACGCTGCGTAACATCCTAATGTGATATTGCGGGGCGTCTCGGTTGCCTCCAAATTTGGTGTGCAGGGCCTTCTCAACACGCTGACCACCGGGGTGTCGCCACCGCCGTCCGGCAGGCTCGTGAAGTGCAGCGTCTCCACCAAGGTCAGCAGCAGCGGGCTGATGTTGACGGCCAGCCAATAACATGGGCATGGCGTGCACAAGTAGCATGCCCTGTTCCACCAGCGTCACCAGCGTTCTTGGGAGATAAGACAGACGGTGACATCACCCAAATCTTCAGGCTCCAGCGGTGAAGCACGATTGGTTTAGTCACTAGCGACATCTTGTCAGTTTGTTTTTGGTCAGGACAAACAATGCTCGTGGCTACATCGGACTATTATTCAACCACTTAAAATGTCAGAAACGAGGCAAAGCTGAGAGGGATGCCACTGGGTGATACCACCAAGTCAACGATATCACCACACGGTTATCAATCGCATTTCGCGAACTGACCTTCTCCAGTGAACTGATAGGGACAGGCCCAAAGGCGAATTCCAGGACACATATTCCAAAGCGCATCTGAGCTGTCACGCGTCGTATAACTCGGAAGTTACGCAAAATTCCACCACAGACAGCGATTTTCGGAACCAGCGTGTTGAGAAGGCCCTGCACACAAAATTTCAAGGCAATCGAGACGCCCCGCAATATCACACTGAGATGTTACGCGGCGTATAACCCAAAAATTACGTAAAATTCTGCCCCAAAGGCTGTGATTTTCGGAATCAGCGTGTAGACGAGGCCCTGCACACAAAATTTCAAGGCAATCGAGACGCCCCGCAATATCCAACTGTTGTGTTACGCGGCGTACAACTCGGAAATTACGCAAAATTCCACCCCAAAAGCAGTGATTTTCGGAACCAGCGTGTTGAGAATGCCCCGCACACCAAATTTCAAGGCAATCGAGACGCCCCGCAATATCACTTTGGAATGTTACGCAGCGTATAACTCAAAAATTATGCAAAATTCCACCCAAAGGCAGTGATTTTCGAAATCAGCGTGTTGAGAAGGCCCTGCACACCAAATTTGGACGCAATCGAGACGCCCCGCAATATCACATTGGGATGTTACGCAGCGTGTAACTCGAAAATTACGCAAAATTCCACCCCACAGGCAGTGATTTTCGGAATCAGCGTGTTGAGAAGGCCCTGCACACCAAATTTAGAGGCAATCGAGACGCCCGCAATATCACATTGGGATGTTACGCAGCGTATAACTAAAAAATTACGCAAAATTCCACCCCAAAGGCAGTGACTTCCGGAATCAGCGTGTTGAGAAGGCCCTGCACGCCAAATATGGACGCAATCGAGACGCCCCGCAATATCACATTGGGATGTTACGCAGCGTATAACTCAAAAATTACGCAAAATTCCACTCCAAAGGCAGTAATTTTCGGAATCAACGTGTTGAGAAGGCCCTGCACACCAAATTTCAAGGCAATCGAGACGCCCGCAATATCCAACTGGCAATTGGATGTCAATCTGCTGCTAGATTGACAGCCGTAAAAACACAAGCGTTGGTTATTTCATCGCGATAGCCTTCATGCGTCAGTATCGTGCCATCAATCCGGCGGACCGGCGCCTGGTGGACGCCTGCGGTGGTTATCGTGATTACCGTTGACGTATCTGGGAGGTAAGATGGGTAGATGTCCCTGAAACATTCTTGTTTTGTGTTTATTTTTAGCGTTTATGTCTTGAAAAGATGAGGTGGTGTACGATTATTTTTGGTGTCGATATTTTTAAAGACATGAGGTGATGAACAATGCCATCTCGCAAGGTCTGGTACCATTGCCGACGATGACCGAAATCATTCATAATTTGGCACCACTGATCCAGACTGCAAAATATGCCTAATATGCTAAGCATGTCCAATGTCTGACAAAATTTGTGTGACAGTTCTGGTGCATGTGCATTGTAAATCTGAATGCGATGAGATGCTTACAGTCGAGCAACACCAATTCCAGGGCTTTTTTTTACTTGGGTACCTGTATTGCCGACGGTGGGGAGAGCTACGCTGGCTGCAGGGTTCCTGTACTGCCGTGATGGAGAAATGCTGTCAGGTATCAGCCGACGTAGTGACGTCACTGAAAATGGGTTTCCATCGATCGGGGTTCTTTTGGGCCAACTGAATGCTACAAGGCATTTGCTAGCGATATGATGTCACTGGTATTCGACTGGATGTGTGACGTCACTGGTTGTGAGGCTTTAGGGATCTTTTGGGTGTAATGAATGCCGTAAAGCATCACCTGACGATATGTCGTCGCTGGCATTCAATGAAACATCAGGCGCAACAGGCCTTATTCCATCTTTACCTTTCGTACCTGTCTGCTGCAAGCATTTGCGTGTCGAATAAAAGCTTGACCGAATCACCTGAATGCGTGACGTCACTAATCATCACTTGATACGAGTGCACTTAGGCCCCACGGCCGCGGTGTATCATGTTCCGTGAAATATCACCAGGTATCGTGACGTCACTGATATTCGACTAAATGTTGGTCGCAACAGGTCATGCTTCATTTTTACCTTCGTACCTGTCTACCGCAAGCACTGGCGTGATGAATAAAAGCTACCAAATCACGTGAGTGTGTGACGTCACTGGTCATGCATTTTTATGGATCTTTGGGGGCCAACTGAGAGCCGTAAAGCATGACCTAATGATGTGACGTCACTGGCATTCGACTGTGTGTGATGTCACTTGTGATCAGATTTTACGGCCTCTTTTGGGCCGACGAAAGGTCATACGACATTAACTGAAGATGTGACGTCACTGGTATCCGAATAAAATTCAGGCGGGACAGGCCATGCTTCATCTTTACCTTTGGTACCTGTCCATTGCAAGCATTTGAATGCTGAAGGAAGGCTCTGCCGAACTACCTGAGTGTGTAACGTCACTAACCATTAATTTATATAGACTGCTTTGAACCTACCGTAAGCCACACCACATCAGCTGACCATATGACGTCACCGGTTTTCGTCTAGATGTCATGCGCAACAGGCCATGCTCTATCTTTGCCTTTCGTACCTGTTCACTGCAAGCATTCGCGCGCTATATCGAGGTGGTGCCGAACCATCTGAGTGCGTGACGTCGCTGGTCATGAGTTCATACAGGCTCACTTGGGCACCCCAATGCAACAAAGCATCATATCCTGTGAAGCATCGCGGGATGATATGACGTCACTGGTATTCGACTCAACATCAAGCGCAACAGGCCATGTTCCATCTTTACCTTTCGTACCTGCCTACTGCAAGCATTCGCGTGTTATATGACGTCAATGGTCGAGAGCTCTTACGGGCTCTTTTCAACCCCCTATATGGTATAATGCTTCAGCTGACGATATGATGTCACTGGTGTTCGACTTAACATCAGGCACAACATGTCATGTTCCATCTTTGCCTTTCGCACCTGTTAAAGTATCGGCGAGCCTAATGATGGCTCTGTCGAATCACCTGAGTGCGTCGTCATGAGTTTTTACAGGCTATTGTTGGCCGAGTGAAAGCCATAAGGCATCATCTAATGATGTGTCGTCACTGGTAATCCACTAAGTGTGTGACGCCATTGGTCATGAGTTTTCCCGGGCCTTTTTCGGCCGACTTAAGGCCATTAGGCATCAGGCAACGATATGGCGTCATTGGTATTCAATTAAGCATCAGGTACAATATGTCAAGTTTCATCTTTACCTTCAGCACCTATCTACTGCAAGTATTCGCGCGCCACATAAAGGCTCTGCCCAATCACCTGAGCGTGTGGCGTGACTGGTTATGAGTTTACGCGGGTTTACTCGGGCTGACTGATGGACATCAAGCATCATCTGGCGATGTGACGTCACTGGTATTCAACTTAAGACCAGGCGCGACAGACCATGTTCGTCTTTATCTTTCGTACCTGTCTATTGTAAGCATTGACATGCGTAAGGAAAGCTCTGTGAAATCTCCTGAGTGTGTAATGTCACTGGTCATGAGTCCTTTATGGGCCGCTTTTTTGTACCTATAGGGTACAAGACATCAGTTGACGATATGACGTCACTGGTGTTTGACTTAATCTCAGGCGCAACAGGCCATGTTCCATCTTTGCCTTTCGCACCTCTATACTGCAAGTATTCGCGCGCTACATAAAGGCTCTGCCGAATCACCTGAGCATGTGGTGTAACTGGTCATGAGTTTACGCGGGCTTACTCGGACTGACGGAAGGACATCAAGCATCATCTGACCATATGACGTCACTGATATTCGGTCTGTGGCCCAGACTTATGACCGCTAGGCGGCGCCCTTTATTATTTAGCCATCAGGACATTCCGGACCGTAGCTGCTCAGGGGCGCATCCTGTGATGTCGGGCGGAATAGCTTTGCATATACGTCGGTTTGTGGGCTGGGATCACCTTTGTTTTGTGTTTACGTTTGTTCAAAATTTTAGTCGTTGAAACAGCCCGTTGCGTTTGAAGCTGCTACTTAATGGTGCGCACAATAAAATTAGTGTGCTTAACTATGGTGCATCTCCCGCCTCTGCTGCGGAATTTCGTAGCCATAGGTGGCCAAGTGACCTCCTACCAACTGATGATCAGTGACGTCACGTACTCGGTGATTCGGCGGAGCCTTCATATAGCACGCGAATATTTGCAGCAGCCAGGTACGAAAGGCAAATATGGAACATGACCTGTTGCGCCTGATGTTTAGTCGAGCACCAGTAACGTCATGCCGTCAGCCGATGCATTACAACCTATAATGGGTTCAAAAGAGCCCATAAAAACTCGTGACCAGTGACGTCACAAACTCAGGAGATTCGACGGAGTCTTTATTCAGCACGTCAATACCTTTAATAGACAGGTACGAAAGGTAAAGAAAGTACGTGGCATGTTGGACCTGATGTTAAGTCGAATAACAGTGACGACATATCATCCTGTGATGCTTCACGGGAGGTGTTGCTTTGTGGCCTTGGGCGGCCCAAGTGAATCCGTATAAACTCATGACCAGCGACGTCACCCACTCAGATGATTCGTCTGGAGTTTAGTCGATTACCAGTGACGTCATATCGTCAGCTGATGCTTGATGTCCTTCAGTCAGCCCGAGTAAACCTGCACAAACTCATGACCAGTTACACCACACGCTCAGGCGAATCGACAGAGCCTTTTTGTAGCGCACGAATACCTGCAGTAGGCAGATGCGAAAGGTAAAGATGAAACATGGCTTATTGCAATTGATGTTAATTCGAATACAAGTGACGCCATAACGTTATCTGATGCCTAATGGCCTGAACTCGGCCAAAAAAGGCCCGTAAAAGCTCATGACCAGTGACGTCACACACTCAGTGGACTACCAGTGAAGTCATTTCGTTAGCTGATGCCTTATGGCTTTCGCTCAGCCAAAAATAGTCGTAAAAATTCATGACCAGTGACGTCGCACACTCAAGTGACTCGGCAGAGCCATCATTTAACGCACCAATACTTTACAGGTACGAAAGGCAAAGATGGAACATGACCTGTTACGCCTCATGTTAAGTCAAACACCATTGGCATCACGTCGTCAACTGATGCATTTTTCCCTATAGAGGGTTCCAAGGAGCCAGAAAAAACTCATGACCAGTAACGTTACACACCCAGGAGACTCGACAGAGCCTTCATTCAGCACGTCAGTACTTGTAATAGACGGGTACGAAAGGTAAAGATAGAACATGGCCTGTCGCGCCTGATGTTAAGTCGGACATCAGTGACGTCATATCGTCAGCTGATACATTATACCGTTTGGGGGTACAAAAGGTCCCGTAAAAAGCTCTTGACCAGTGACGTTACTTACTCAGGAGACTCGACAGAGCCTTCATTCAGCACGCCAATACTTCCAAGAGACAGGTACGAAAGGTAGAGATGGAACATGGCCTGTCGCGCCTGGAGTATAGTCGAATACCAGTGACGTCATATCGTCAGCTGATGCTTGATGTCCTTCGGTCAGCCAGAGTAAACCCGCGTAAACTCATGACTAGTTACACCACACGCTCAGGTAATTCGGCAGAGCCCCTATGTGTCGCGCGAATACTTGCAGTAGATAGGTGCGAAAGGTACAGACGAAACATGGCTTAGATAGAGCATGGCCTGTTGCGCATGATGTCTAGTCGAGACCTAGTGTCATCATATCGTCAGCTGATGCTTTGTGGCCTATAGTAGGTTCAGAAGAGTATACAAATTAATGGTCAGTGACGTACACACTCAGGTAATTTGGCAGAGCCTTCCACGGCAATGCTTGCAATGGACAGGTACCAAAGATAAAGGTGGAACATGGCCTGTCGCGCCCGAAGTTCATTCGAATACCAGTGACGTCACATCGTCAGTCAGTGCCGTATGACCTTTCGTCGGCCCAAAAGAGGCCGTAAAATCTCATGACCAGCGACACGCACGGTCGGATGCCAGTGACGTCACATCGCTAGCTGATGCTTTATGGCCTTCAGTTGGCCGCAAAAATCCGCCAATACTTGCAGCAGACATGTACGAAAGGTATAAATGGAGCATGACCTGTTGGCTGATGTTCAGCCAAATACCAGTGACGTCATATCGCCAGCTGATGCCTTACGGCATTTCGTCGGTCCTAGAGGACACGTGGAAACCCACGACCATTGACGTCTTACAATCGGTCGTATAGCAGTGACGT